TGTGTGTGTGTGTGTGTGTATAGCATGTGTATGAACTGTATCTTCCCAATCTCACTGGAGAACGTATCCGCCGATACCCTCTATTGTGATTACAACTCCATAGATAGAAGTGGCCTCGGCCGTATCAGTTGCTGAGAGTACAGACACCGGCGACAAACCCATCAAGCGCACATACACACGCACACGGCGTATGAGACCCAGACAATCGCTGGAGAGGATTACGAATAAGGATGGTTCTGTGATCATTGAAGATACTGCAGAGGTATCCATAACGGCTGTAGCCGCTGGAAAAGGAGCTTTGAAAGGTACCGAACAAACACCAGCAACTAGTAGGCGGAAGCGCAAAGCTGTGGAAGGTGTGTGTGGGTGTCATTTCCAATGCACCAACTGCGTGCTGTGGATAGTATAGTGTTTAGGGTTCAGCGTTGGTCTAGTATTTTGTTATCTCTTTTTTCAAACCTTTTCCTGCGCATATTCACGTTTGCACAAATGGCACACTTTCTCTCCGCAGAAGTCACACCCACAGCAATTGCCTTGGGCGCCGCATCACTGCAACCGCTGCGTGTAGCTGACCTGCGCGTTTTGTGCGCTGCACGGGGTCTCAGTGTAGCCGGTCGCAAGCGGCAGCTCATTCATCGCCTTTTGGCCCATGCGCAGAGTGCAAGTGGGCCTGTCATCAGTGTCTACGATAGTGGCGCAAGCTGCAACGCCTTAGACATGGGTAGGTATCTGCAAGCGTTGCCGCGTGTGTCAGTTGTGTTGGGTCCATGGTGCAGTGTGCTGCGTCCTGTCGGGTCAGCTTGATATAGCTTGCAGTGTAAATGCGTATGTGCATCTGCCCTGCTCTTGGTGGAGGTGGCTGGGATTTTGTGATCTTTCTTATACGTTTTCTGTGCAAGTGCATTGGTTGTATGTACATCTTATTTGTCATTCATCTGTATGTACTCCTGCCGTGCCTGCTTGTTTCCCCTTAGTGCGTGATTGTTTAGTGTTACAATTGTATGACCATACTCGTATCTGTCATGTGCCATTCTACTACCGACTGGGTCTGAGGGTATTTTTCTACCTGTGAAAGCTGCGACATTTATTCGTTTGATTTTGGTCTGGTTTTTTTCCCCACCTGTGAAAGCTGTGACATTCATGCGTTTGATTTTGGTCTGGTTCTTTTCCTACTTGTGAAAGCTGAGACATTTATGCGTTTGATTTTGGT